GCATCCAGCACCAGACTGATGAGCTGACGGCAGTTGTTTAGCAGAGCAGCTCCGCTGACCACAACCCAGAGGATCCTAAAGACGATGACTGTTGGGAAAGAAAAGAGGGTAAGAGCGAGTAGAGAAATGAGTGTGACCAGAATATGTTATATACATGTATGAGATTATCAAATGATAAATTCTAAAAACAATTCATGCTTCTGCATACAGAAATCAACTTTCTACTATTTATTGACTTGTGAGGTACCAACTACATAGTGATGAATTTCCCATTCGCTTTCTTCCTGCCTTTCTGAACTTCCTGCAATCGCTTCCCTCCCTCAGCTCTATCAACTTGCATGCTTATAATAGGTAGGGACTAGTCAGTTACGCATCACCAATTGGTGAACAGGAGTCTCTTTAAAAAGGCACACTGCCTTACAGCATGTATACTGAATTAATGAAATTACATTTGGAGAGAAAATTTAAAAGAAAAAAAAACAAAGACAGTCTTCTAAGTTTGTCTTGATAGTCCACATCAATAATCTCAGCGTGTGGCATATTGAGAGAAAAGGCTCAGGTGTTCAAGGTCATGTTCACCTTCATCCTCAGTGACTGCAATGCCAGCCTGCCATATAATGAGACTTTGTCTTCAACACCCTTTCACTGACTTCTCATCTAACTTTTATATCTTTTTGCTTTACTTTTGCTTTGGCTTTATAACCCACTGGGTTTAGCAAAGGCCACTTGTATAAGCACGATATGTGTGAAGCTACCTAAGAATCATGAGAAGCTCATCAAAGGATATGTCACTGAAAGCAATAGCTGAGGCAGCCTAAGACTATCATAATCTCCCACATGTCCCAGGAGCCTATACCTCAGTCCGTAACAGAATGGTTACTAGCTCAGTCTTGTATAGGACTTATGGAGGCAACAGCAGCTGCTCTGATTTCATGGGAGTCATGGACACGTCACACCCATAAGACTGTCTCCTCACTACCCAGACCTTAGATTTTTTTCTTTTTGCCTCTTTATAGTGTTCTCTAAGCCTTTGAGGAGGTGATATGGTTATCCCCTGTAACACCGAACTCTCAGCGGTCACTTTTTCTCACCTTGGCAACCATGAGTCTCTACAGTAACCGGCACTCACTACAGATAATCCTCTGTGGTCAAAGATGAGGACCTCACTCACCTATAGAACTAAACTGGTTACAACTGTGCATTCTTTAAGGGGCATTTTCTCTAGCTTTATGGCCCATTTTCTAACATAAAGGTTTAAAGTGTCCCAGAAGGACTTGACCTTGAATTCTGCTCATTTCTTTCTTGGGCTTCTGTTTAGATGTGTTTCCCTGAATTCTCAGCAGTTCCTGACATTTATTCGGATGGAGCTTCAAGGCCCAACAGTTTATGGAGACTCTGCTGAGATGGTGACAGTGCCGAGGAAGTGGGGTTCTAGTTGGAGGAAGATTACAACTGAGTGTGAACTGTAGTGATCAAACACTTGAGGCAGTGATCCGCTTACTTTCCCTTGACAGTCTCTCATCTTAGCTTCTCTGTTACCCAGTGCCTCTGAGTTCTCAGTCTCCTCAATGTTTTCTAACCTGAAGTGTGAATTGGACTGCTTTTTCTTCATTCCCTCTTCTATCTATCTGTGCTCAGCCTCTGCCAGTAATCTGAGTTATGCAGGTGATGCTCCCCACCTTCCTTGCATGCAGAGAATCCTGTTGTGTGTATTACTCTCCTCCTGGTCTTGACAGCCTTGTGATTTTTCCACTTATTAAAATTAGCATTGTATTGGGAATTTCAGGGAGAAAGGTAAGCATACCAAAGGTTTTGAAATACTTGTTTATATTACAGAAACATTTAATGTGCTATTTAAACCCAATATTGTCTAATCACTAAGTTTTGTCTCCTGCGAATGATAACACCAACAACTAAAGAGGAAGGAAAAAGAAAGAGAAATCTCAAAAGAGGTAAGCATAAGTTGCCAATTTGGGAAAGCTAAAGACACCTTAAAACTGTGTCTTCAGAGTTTGATGGTAAGCTTGTTTTAAAACTGGAGCTCTCCTGATCCGAATCACCACTACGCACATGGAGACACTATTCCTTCCTACCATTGTCACTGTACTTTGGATCAAAGTCACAAGCACCACGGAACTATCCTCTATTTTTATAAATGAATTTACAGCCACTTCCTTTTGTTTGTGTGTGACTTCTACTTGTGTGTGTGTGTGTGTGTGTGTGTGCGCGCGCACGTGTGTGTTATCACTATAGCTGCTTTGATTCTACAAACATCAACCAATAATCATGCCAGAGTTGAATAGTTTTAAAACTATGTATCACCTGATACTACAGAACTCTTGTTGGTCCTGATTACACCTCAGACACAGACACGTAACTTTGTTATTAAATGAGATCTAAATCAAATAAAGTAAATAATCAAAGGTAAGGAGAAATGAGTTGAAAATCTGTTATCCTGAGCTAAGAAATATTTTTAATGGTGTTATTTAAGTATAAAGGTGAATGAGAGTGTCTAGGATGCACTGTATTAGAAGCACATTAAACCCAGATTCTCTTGTAACAAAACTCCTTGTTTCATTGTTTGACTACATAAAGGAACAGTGGAATTTGCTATAATGTCTTTACCACTACCTCAAAAGACATAGCGGTATAAAAAAAAAACAAAACATAAAACAGACAGACACCTGGGTTTGTTTCCAGTCTGTTCTGTTTACAAACACCGAAGCCTTGGGCAAATCCTGGATACCCTGGATTTCAGTTCCCTACTCCTCTGACGCAGTGAGTTTAACTGCACAGCATTGCACCGACTATGATCCTGTCAGGTTACAAACAGCAGGTGACAGTGCCTCCTCTCCTGTGTGAGGCGATCCCATGTTCTACTTATTTTAATATTTAACAGAAAAGCACCCGCCATTAAACTGAGGAATCCTGAAACTGAGGATGTGCTAAGTGCCTATTCTCTATTTGGATTGCCTTGGGAAAATCATCTATGCAATTCCATGCTCTGGTTTCCTTTGCTCTAAAGCAGCAATAACAGTGTTTGTGTCTTTAGTGTATCAGGATATACTATTTCTTTGGCAAAGCTATTTGAAATGATTTGTACCAAAAAAGATGCATAAATACTAAATTCTTGCTTCAAAATTAATTTTAAGTTATTACAATAATTCAAAAAATACTTAACCCTGCCCTTTAGAATTCTGCACAGAAAATGCAAATTAAATGCTAAATTCTACATAGTCCTTACTCATGTGTGAAAAAATTAGATATTCTGCATCGTAGACAACTCTTCTGAAATAATGTCACCATGTAATATCACTGTTAGCTTTCCCAGCTGAGAAATGCTGTTTTCATGAATAGTGATAAGAAAGGAATTTGAATGGAATTTTACATTCTCATGCCTTGTTACATAAAATTGTCAGCCAGGACTATAAATTTTATCCCTTTTATACCAAATATAAACTATCAATTTCAAATGTATAGTATAGGTTTAAATGCATTTCTTTCCATTTAATTTTTAAATGTCAGGTAAATACTGTTGAGTAAAAAGAACTTACAATGTGATTAGCAAGCATTAGATATATTAAATAAAACCGTGACCCCCATCTATTAATATATTAAAATCCTTGCTGTTTTGTAATGCATAGCAATTGAGAATGTTTGCCTTAATAATCCAACTTACAGTAACATTTTTAATGTGAATTTTTTTAAAGGTCTGGACCTTTTAAAATGGGACAAAATTACTTCTTTTTAAATATTCATCCTTAACATTTGATATTTATGCTGTTAATTAAAGTACTCAAAATTATGTTGATATTTCACCAGAAAATGTGATTATCTATAATATGAGCCATGCATGTTTGTAAGAGATTGTAAATTAATTTTAAAAAGTACTTTAAATAAACATACTACTAAATCAATTTTTTAAAACGCATTTATCTGTATATAATGTAATGATCGGGAAAGTGTAGGGCCTTGGTTGAAGATCCTGTCATTGTTTGCTGAGTCGAAATTGATTATTTAATATTTATGAAGCATCTATGAAGTTCACTGGAACCCATAAAGCCTGATCTTTGTCTGAAGAAGTGAATGCTAACATAAGCAACCTTTAAAAGGGGCTTGCTAATGAAAGAGCAGAGAGAACAAATACCTCATCAAAATAGAATCCTGACAACATTTTTCTCCTCTGGACCTCAGTTTCTGTTGACATTCCATCAAAACAGACTATTGTTTTAATGTGACAATTCAGAGGCATATCCTTGTTTTCTTCCTTAGTAATGGTGTATTTTACCTGTGTCGTTTAAATTAAGCTTCAAGCATCATTTGTAAAGTGTGTGTGTGTGTGTGTGTGTGTGTGTGTTTGTCTCTTTGTTTACTTTTTCTCCTAAGACATTGCCTCATGTTCCGCAAAGTAGGTGCAGATTCACTGTCCAGCTGTGAACGGCCTTGGACTCCTGGGTCTCATCCCAGACACAGGGATCACACTCATGCATTGCCACACTGCAGCCATTTGTAAAACATCCCCTGGGGGTGTGTGGTCCTTGCTACAAATTCCTGTGAAACTCCATCTAGGTAGCTTTTGCAGTTCTTATATTTTCCTCTTTTAAAAATGTGCAGCTATACATATTATAAATTCTTTCTGAGTTTGTACTTTAATGTCTATGTGATATTTCTCCTTTGATTAGTCTAGCACTGGGGCCACCATGACATTTTATCTTAAGCAATGAACCAGTCTGGAGACAATTGAGATAACTTCCCACCCATTAATACAGTTATAACTAGTCCGAAGCACCCGCAAGCCAGTTCCTTATAACTCTGAAGTCTTTTCCTTTGTGCACAATGGTGAAGACTCGTAGCAATGCCCTGAAGACCATTCTCTTGGCAACAGCTTTAAGCACATTACTGGCTTCAAGACAATAGACTCCTGTGACATCCCCATGAGGTCACTTCCATCCCAGTGACATCAGATACCTCCTCAGAACTTGGGTGTAACTTTCAAAAAATCGAAAGCTACTTCACCTGTTTAGCCCAAGTGTCATGGAAGGGTATGACTTACATATGGAAAAGCAAAGAAGCTGGTGAAATGGAAGCTCAGAGACCAAATAGAAGGTGATGAGAGGAAATAAAGTCAGATACGTAATGGGAAAGGGGAAAAATTTTATGGTAAGTAGCTTTTTTTGTGGCTCTTGATGTTGCCTGCCTCCAGACCTTAACATTTTAACTCAACGCCACTCTTGAGTGATGCTAACAGACTGGACCCAGGGAAATGCTCTGAGAAAAGGCCACTCCTCAGATTCCTTTGTAAAAATGACTGGCTCATGTTTATTACCCTCTCTGACCATTTACCCACGCTTTCTGACTGAAGTCAGCTGCCACAATGTGAGCTGACCTACAGAGATGCCCGTGAAAAGAACTGAGTCCTCCATTCAATGACCAGCAGGCAACTGGAGACTCCTAAAAACCACGTTAGAAGTATCAAAAAGGACCTTCTACAACTGGATCCTTCTATCAGACAACCCCAGTTGACATTTTGTACAAAACCGTAAGCCAGAGGAACAAGTTAGTATAAATTCAGATCCTGGCCCAGAAGTAAATTATTATAGAACATGTGAATATATGTGTTTCCACGTGTGACAGCATACAATCTTTTGGATTTTATATTGCACTGTGGTAGGTTTCATTCATCTTTCTGGGTGAAAGGAAAAACTGTTGGATAATGTGGGAAATGGAAGTGAAGACCTTTTTGAAATGATCTTGAGGCAGGGTATAAACACCTGCAATGTCTGCACTCAACAGGTTGACATAGGAGGATCATGAGTTCAGACTAAACCTAAACTTCACAGAACCTGCACCAAAACAGGAGGGAAAAGGAGACTGCTGCTGCTATCACACTGTCAGACCAGCGGGCACACTCTCGGGAGCACAAAGGCAAACATATTAAGAAGCACTAAGAAGCCAATGCCCTAGTTAAGTGATAGATGATTCAGGGCTAAATTAAAGCAGAAGCTGTGAAAACGAGAAGTGATCGAAATCTAATACACATGGAGAAAGAGCAAGAGATGTTGATAATAGAATACAGTAAGGCAAGAGAAAGAAGAAAGAAGTCAGAAGTGTTTTCAAAATATTCAAAAAGACGGCAGTCTCAGAGTCGGTGAAAACTTTGCCAGAATAGGGTTGGAGGTGGAAGATGTGGAGTAACTTGGTGTGAAGGCTGTTCCATTTAATATCTATGTATGATATCCTTTGTGAAGTTCCAAGTGATTAATTAGCTCATGTATGAGTCAAGTGCTCAGGGCAGAGGTCCAAGCTGTAAATATGACTTTAGAAATATTCAGAATATAGGAAGCGTTTAAAGTCTTGAGTCTGTGAGACCTTTGAGAGCAACACACCAATAGAAGCAATGCAAGCAGCAGGCCAAGAGGCACTGTAAAGACTGGAGTTCAGAGGTATCCTTAAGCTGGGCATTGGGAAACAGTAGCTACAAATAACTAAGAAGATAAGAAAAGTACATGCCTAGAAATCAAGAGAAAGAAATAATCAATATGTACGTGCTCAGTCCGGGGATGCTAATAGATTAAATGGAAGTAGAAAAGAAAATGCAACATTTACTTCATCAACATGGAAATTGTTTGTGGCAATAGGATGCACCAGGTGGAGCATCAATGGAATTAAAGGAACAATGGATAGATGGAAAAACACTTAAGTAGGTGTTGACAAACATCCAATAGAGTTCTACTGTAAAGAAGAAATAGAAGGGAAGTATTAGCGTAAGGAATACATGAAAAAGGATTTTTTTAAACTGGTAAAAATAAAGAGTACAGTTGAAGAGTGAGAGGAAAAATTATACGAGCCAGCGGGGTCAAGATCATGACAGGAAAATCCACAAAGACAACTTGTCCTGAGCTAATGGGAGCTCACAGACTCTGGAACCTTTTCCCCATGCAGGGATGCCTCGCCCAGCCTTTCAAGGAGGGGGAAGAACATGGTCCTGCCTCAGCTTAATATGACATGTTTTATTGACTCCTTTGAGAGGCCCGGCCTTTCTGAATGGAGCAGGAACGGATGGGGGTATAGACGGGTTGTGGCAGATGGAATTGGAAGAGAGGAGAGAGGGGAAATGGTTGATATGTAAAATAAACATAAAAAATAACGAAAATAAAAATAGGAGGTTTGCATGCTGATAATCAATTAAAGAATATAAATAGTTGTCAGAAAATGAAGCAAAAATTGAAAGGAGGAAGTCATTTCAAGAAAAAATAACACACACACACACAAATTTCAAGGAAGAAACTAGTCTGTCATAATTATTTTTTTAGGCTAAAAGAACAGATTTTTTGAATTCTACTCATTGTGTGGAATGAGAAACAATTCAAGCAGGAATGCAGCTTATTCTTAAGTCCCTGTCCTCTCTCCCTGTCTTTCTCACTCCTCCCTTTCCTTTCTCCCTCTACCATCTCTTTATTTTAAAATCTATTAATGAAACATATTTTATTCGATAGTTGTTTAACAAATGGTGTCATTCTTCTTATTCAGCTCGTGCAAAGAATGTAATTTTTCATTTTCTATAATCTATAATTCTGTGACATGGCTTAGTGCTTTTGATTTTGTGGTTTTGTTTTTTGTTTGTTTGTTTTCTCTCCTATAGCTACAGGGATCTAGTGGAGGGAGCAGGGTGATAAAAGATGCTAGAAAGCTGGTTCACATTGAAAACTGACTGTCCATAAATCCTGAAAGAGATTCAACATGCTTGGTATGGTTCCAAAGAATATACAATTTTAATCCAATGTACAAGTGGTTATTATTACGTAGCCATGGATAAGTTTTGTGGGAATTCTGGATGGAGTTAGACTCATTGATATAGGTCTTCAAGTTTAAGAGGCCACATTTATGCAGACTGAATATATTGCTAACAATTAGATAACTAAGTGGACTATTGAAAATGGCTCTCACTACTTCAGACTCAGACAACACGTGAAAACATGTGCATATTTTATGTGGCAGTTCAGTGTTTCTTTGACTTATTTAGTATATCCACTGAACACCAAGGAATATTAACTAGTTGGGTCTTGACTAAAATTAGAGAATTACTAGTGGGACTTCAATTTGTGTCTTGAGCCTAAATAAATAGGAACTATCGTCGTCAATAGAAGTTTAAAATACTTTGTGACACCATAAATGTTTACTCTTAGTAAGTGGAGGTTCACTAGTGTTAAGTAGGTGATTTTCAAATTTTCAGAACAACTTGCCCGATTTGTACAATGCCCACATTCCTTTCATCTCCTACACATTCTATGCATGGTAACCATCAACTCAGCATTGAAGAAGCAAAGGTACAAATACAGCAAGCATGAAAGCAAACGGTTCAAGATCAAACATTTAGAATTCTTTTTGGTTTATATTTTCAGAACTGAATATTATGAAGAGGATAATACAGTTGGTCTTGCATAAATGTGCGTGTAATCAGCAGTTGTCAACTTGAATTATACTGGTTTATCGGGTGGGGACCTGCAACAGACATAAACACCTCATCAGTGACAAGTGGGAAGGAGCAAAACAGCAACTAACAAAACTTACTGGCATCCTTTGTCTGAAGGTGCAGTGCCAAAGACATAGAATGTTAGAGCATGTGTCTTCAAACAGAGCTCACAGATTTGGAAACTATATACCTAGAACTACAAATTCCTGCTGCTGTATGATTTGCTAAGTGTGGTACTGGAGCAGCACATGACAGTCTGGGGAAAATTAGGGAGGAAACCAGCTTATCCTAAGTTGTAAATTGAAAAAGCTTCTTTGAGATTAGTACCTTGATTCTGTAAAATGTTCCCCACAGCTCACATACTTAATACTTGGTTGTCCATTAGTCATGCAAGTTCTGGAGCAAATACATCACCAAGTGCAGAGCAGGCTGTGGAGGTTTGTAGCCTCTCCTCACCTCTCTCTCTCTCTCTCTCTCTCTCTCTCTCTCTCTTTCTCTCTCTCTCTCTCGTGTGTGTGTGTGTGTGTGTGTGTGTGTGTGTGTGTAAAGGAACGCATGTGGTATAGCACAAGTATGGAACCAGAGGACAATGGACAATTTGGGAGAGTTAGTTCTCTCCTTCCTGAGAACTAAAGCAGAATTGTTCTTGCCTCTGCGATGCTGTATTTTCAGTGCTGCAGGCCTGCCAGCTTTCTGAGAATTCTCCCATCTCTGCCTCCCATTTCACTATAGGACCACTGAGATAGAATGTTGCCACAAGATTCCATTTTTCTACAAGGGTTTCAGAGGTCGAACGTGAATGGCCAGGCATGTGAACACTTGCCAGCTTGACAGTCCTTTGTTGGAAGCCAAGGAGTTAGAGGTTTAGGATGAAAGCCTACTGAGGTTGGTGAGAAGAGAATTTTTGCATCTATCTAAGGTTATATGTCTACTTGCTTTACAATAATGGTGTTGACAGCACTGAGGTACTAAGTAGGCATTTTTTTCATTCTAGTTTGGAGTTCATAAGCCCCTTAAAGCTGCAAAAGGGCTTCCAGCAAGCTGGTACAAATGGAGAGGAGAAACAAGTCAACAAGTCAGTGGTCACGGTGCCCACATGTTTAGCACAGTGTTGGGACATAGGTGATTCTGAGTCAAGTTCAAACAAAAGGCATATCCAATGATCTGGGGAAAGTAATAACTTGATAAGCTGATAGTTACTACTTAGACTGAAATTAAAGGTAACTTTTTCTAATACTGACATTGCACTTCTCCTGCAGAAGAAAAATGTTACCCCTTGAACCAGTGAAAACTTCCTGACACCATGTTTTCTTCAGCTCTCATCTTTAAGAGCAAACCTCATCACCATAGATAGTTACTACATTTGAAAGGAAAAAGAAACCATAAGTAATGGCAGATATCAACTCCTAATTCAACACATGAAAACTTTTCTTTTTTCTGAAGTTTTATGTGTAAAATATTCAATAATGTCTCCCCTGCACCAGGAATGATAGCTCAAACTTTCCTCCAACTTGGTATGGCTAAGGATGACCTTGTATGACCTTCTGCCTTCAGTTGGGGATTTTTGGTGTCATAGCTACCACATTTGGCTGTTATGGTGTAGGCTAGAGAAGCACTCTGGCCTTATTTTTACCTCTTTAAGCCAAGTTTTTCATATGGGCAGAGTTAGCATCTATAGTAGATTCACTGGACTTTGAATATAACCCAAAGCTTCTTTTATATATTTCCTTTTTATCAAGGGGCCTAAGTTATCTCTGCTTCCAATGTCATGGAAAATGGAGGTGTCTTGTCCATCTAAAACTGTTTTGGTCCAGAAGTAGTTGGGAAAAATAAAGTTAAATCTAACTGTGATTATGTTTTATTATGGACCATTCCTTTAGACAATTAGTACTTAGGCTTCATGATCATAGATTTATTTTGAGATGTCAATTTTGAGACAGAGTGAAAAAAAAGTGTTCAAGGCAATGATAATGTCCCACTTTAAAGTTCTTATGTTTTTGCTTAAATGGTTATAATAACACATGCTGTGGAAGTTTTCTATATTTATTTTGGAATTACTGCTATGTGCATATGTATTATTCTTGGTAGGATGGGCATCTTCATATCTAGGGCATCCCACTATGATGGCTGATTATGTTCCAGCTGGTCTTTCTCTACTTAGGAATGAAATTTTTTACTGGAGTAAATTTAATCAGGCAATCTTGTTAAATGTGGCACTGGGCCCAATCAGTTAAAACTTTTGAAAAGAGGAAGACAAGAGGAAAGACAAAAGCTACAGCTTTTAATATCACAGATTTCTCCAGTGTGAATTCTGAAGTCAGATTGTCTTTGTTTCTACTCTGATTGTGCCCTACACAGACACTGTGATTGCTACATCTCCCACCTTAGGCTCTCACTAAACTGAAAAATAATATCAGTAACTAAAACTTAAGGTACTGCATGAAGGAGATAATGAATGTGTGCTTAACCAGCATCAGATAAATGAGAAGTGGGCAGTCAGCATTTCCCTTTATGGTTGCTGTTCTGATCCCCAGCCAGGGCCAAAGTCTGATCTATAGACCACCAACTTATCACACAAGAAACTTATTAAACTACATCCTACTGGATATTTTGCAACAGTCATTACTATAAATTCCCTAAGATTGAATCCTGGACATCTCTAATTTTTGTAAGAAGCCCAGGTGATTCTTATGCACATTAAAATGCACACCTGCATTTCACCTTTAAAATACTGTTTTATAATCTCACAGCATTAGGGAGCTTCTTCCTCGTAGCTGCATCACTTTCCATTATTGAAATTATGCCTCGCAGAAGAAATGGATCACATTGCTGGAGTCTGTGCATAAATGTTCGCACTGTTCCATGTGAGCTCCGAGCCTGGCAAAGGTGTCGTCATCATTCAAGTTCCTAATTCCTTCCTTACCCTGCATATGAGCAATGGATCCTCTCCAAAATAGTCCTTAAAAACTCTTCAGAATCTTGCAGCAGTCATTCCTGAATTTAAAAAAATAAAATAACAACAATCCCACCAAATATCCCACCAAAATAGAAAATCTTCCCTTCCTCTTTAAATAAGTAGATTTGCCCCACTTCTATGTCCTTCCTGCAGGCAACAAATGCTCAACGGAGAAGCACGTGAGAGTTATGAGAGCTTTGTGGACTAAGCACTTTATGATTATAATCTCCAGATGTGCACATCGTGAAGCACTTCAAGAAGAGGGGACATTTGAGGAGGACATCATTTCAACAAGAAGAAATTTAAGACCATCTCCCACTACCGTGTGTTTGAGCTGATCTGCATTTGTAGTCCAGACAGTCCTTTAATTGAGATCCTCCTGCCTCAGTCTCCTCAGTACTGGCATTATAGGCCACACGAAGTGAGAGCTAATTTATATGCTTGATCCCAATGTGGGGACCAAACTAACCAGGTAGCAATGACCCATGACCTGATTTGTATTCTTTGATGTGATACTGAAATAGACAAGTAAACAAAAAATAAACTGAACCCATGTTGCCATTCTTGTCTATGTTTTACAAGTTTACAGAGATAATTTGACCAAATCCATCATTTTTGCTTTCAGAATGAAATCCTAGGTCACACAGCCAGGTACACGGAAGCACGGCAAAGACAAATGTCCTGGGAACAGTGGTCAGTATGACACAGGGGTCGCTGTAACCTCGTCATGCTTGAGACAATTACGATATGTAAAAGAAACATATTATCTCAATTCTTTCTAAAGACAAGATTACACACACACACACACACACACACACACATTCCTGATTAGCTCACATGTAACCTGTAGAAAAATGAGCAAAATCAGTCAAATAGACATTTTCTACTGATGTACTAAAAAATAAAAAAATAATTCTCTTCTGACTGCATTCTGAGAAAGCTGTCTGTACCCCTGCTTACACAGGTCGTTCCTTATTTCTCAAGGCTGTGCTAATGTTATAAAACTCTAAAACTTCCATTCCTACAGTAGCCTATTGAGTCAAACTGATGTTTAAAAAACTCAGTGTGTTTCAGCTTTATCTTCTGTGTGCACTAAACAGAAAAATGAAAATGTATATATTTAATCACCAGTGATGATAATAATTAAAACATTGCTCACATGTTTAATACTTACCATGGTTAACTGACTCTGGTAAATGGTACCAGAGATGACAAGTTCCTTAAATCCCACTTAAATAAAACATCATGTGACATGTCTGTATGAATATATTGAAGCATGTTTTATCCATTCAAGATTATCTCTATGCTAAAATAATACCAGTTATACAGAATTCCAGTATGTAATAATTTTACGAAAGTTTGGCTCACTGAGAAACTGACTGTGCTCTAAGCAAAATTTTACATAAAAGCTCTTAAATGGCCCATGTTATACAGTCTTATTTCAAAATGTTTGCTACTTAAATGCAACGCCTATTGAAATCTATATTATATATTTTGGAAGACGTTATAAATAATACTGAAATAGCCAATTTCTTAAATTTCTTCCAAATTTCTTTTATAAAACACAGAATAATGTTAAAATACTTGATTTATTGAGGAGAATTTAAATTTGTTTTAATTTTTTTCATCGTGATTAATAACTTGAAGGCGTAAGTCACAGACAATCCCACACCAGTTTGGAATTATGATTAACAGAATGGTTATTTATTCAAAGGGGAAAAAACTTACAGATTACCGTCCCAGACAACAGCCCCTCCGCGCGAACAGGAAAGGAGTCCAGGGGCCGGAAACGGAGCCGGAAGACAAAGACAGAGTGGAGGACAGCCGTTGCTTTTTTTAAAGGGAGAGAGACCACGCCCCAATGGGCTGGTAACTCAGCGGCGATTGGCTGAAGGAGCTGAAGGAACTCCCACAGCATCTCCCCCTTTTGTTTAAGTAAGAGAATTCTAAGCCTACTACGCAATTATATACAATAAGTACAAACCTACGAAATTATATACAATAAATACAAATATCCTATTCTAACTAGCTTAAGTCTTGTATAACAAATAACTTGGCCAAGTCATGAAAGGAAAGTAACTACATTTATATAATCTTCAATCCCATCGAAGATCTGAGAAGGGAAATAATGTTATCTGAGTAATTAGGAAGTGCAATCAAACAACTTCCAGAACATGTAACAAATCGCAGAGACAACTGGCTACCTGGACAAACACCCAAAGTCACATTTGCAGCATTGAAGCAACCAACTTTGGCTAAGGCCTGATGTAACTGACATACCATTTTAAAAGGCAAGAAACTTCAAAACTATCTTACCCTGTCTTGGCAGGATATGACAGTCTTGTTTTATCCATTTACGGATATTCTGTAACTCTGTCAGTAGTTGAGGTATGAGCATTTCTTTACCCAAAGGCCAGTTCTGCCAAGAAGAAAGGCTCCAGGTGGAGTGTCTTTGGTGCTCAACATTCTCTCGGGCATAGATCAGTGTTGCCAGGAGTGATTGTGTCTCCCTACCATAGAACTCTGAATTAGATTAAAGGCCATTTTCTACAGCTCTTTGAAGAGGTTGAAGATTATCTATCTATACTGAATATAATCTCTATATATCTAAAGAACCTGATTAGTCTAATTATAAATGACAAACTTAGATGACTGTTGATCTATATAATTCTCAATATCTATCTAACTTAAAAACTGAGATAATAAACAACTGTGCAATAAATGAGGACAATGTGACCTTCAAATATAAACAATGTGCAAGTATACATTGCAATATGGTAAATATATATATCAATACATAAACCATATATAAGTATCTTAATCAGAGGTAGAAGTGTACAATGCAATATGGTAAATATACATATATCAATACAATATATATATATATATACAAATACATAAAAATGTTTTAAACAGAGGTAGAAGCATGAAGCATGCATGCATAAAATAGTCAACATAATTTAACTTTGTATCAATATATAAGAATCGATACCAATATGTTTGTCTAAAAGCAATAACTCACAAGTACAAATCTATTTATCCCATAATCCAATTATCCCTCTTTTTTTTTAAGATTCCTGTGCTTATAAAATTCCTCCCCCAACCCTCAACCGTATACTAATTATAACCAACCCCTAAATGATGTCCCTAAACCCAAGGACAAACTTTATTGGGAGGGGGGACGTCGTTCTCTAGAATTACTTCCAGCTGTCATGGGGGCGACATTCTTTCTGGGGGATCCTGTGAAAGTAAAATGATGGTTAAATTTCAAGATCAATGTCTTTTAAAATTGCAAATAGTCTCTGAGTATTTTGTGGAGGTCTGGCCAGAATGTTGTACAAGATGTGCACCATTTCAGCACGTTGGAACCGTCTTGTGCAGCTGGTACCCAAAACAGGTCTTGTAGTAGCGCTATCAGTATCATGACGTCATATCAACCAGGTGGAGTTGTTGTTATGGGGCCCCATCTTCTTCCTGGAAACTTCAAATGTCACTGTAGGAAAAACTCATTGTTCATTGTGGAAAACTTAAACATTAATTATATAGACATATACATGAATACCTATATTCAATGAGAGACATGATAGATATATTTAATGAAGGTATGATAGATATGAAGAAAAGTAAAGATGTTTTCTAAACTCATATTTCTTTCTGTCCCATATCATGGCTCTTGACATGAGACAGAAACTCCAGAAACTCTGGGTTTTTCTTTAAACAACAGGCTTGGAATTAGAGAGGGACTGAGCCAGAGTCCAACTCTAAAACCAGCTCTATAAATTTAGAAATATGATTTAGTATATGGTACTTACAGAACCTATTCAGTTTTCTTGATAGTCCCTATTGGGCCGTTATTTTCCATCTGTCAGTATTCAAATATCCAGGGTCCCTTGAACTTTTCAAAGATCAGTGTTTTCCTGTGGAGATAAGAACAGAACCCTGCCCCCATTCTATATGCTTTTCTTACCACCTGTATGGTTATCATCATTGTAGATGCTGTCATTTCTCCTTTCCAAGAGGTTTCTCCTCTTCAAATCGAACCTTTATTAATTTTGATGGTATCCACAATTTTTCTTCTCCTGTGGAAACAAGAGCAAAACCCCTTCCCCAACGTAGCACATCTCCTGGCTTCCATTGAGAGGTCAGCACGTCTTTGAAATAAACAGGTTGGTTTAGTTCAGAAGTTTTTTCCATTATCCAATGCCTCTCTGCTGCTGTTGTTCCTTTCTCATTAGCATTAAGAAAATTCAAGGTTAATAAAGCATTATGCAATCTATTTCTGGGGGTATCTTTCGTCCCTTTCTGTTTGTTTAGCATATCCTTTATAGTACGATTTGATCTTTCTATAACTGCCTGACCTGTAGGATTATTTGGTATACCTGTAACGTGTTTTATATTATAATAAGCAAAGAAGCGTTTCATTTTCTTAGATACATATGCTGGACCATTGTCTGTCTTTATTTGTGCAGGTATACCCATGATGGCCATAACTTCCAATAAATGTGTGATTACCGAATCAGCCTTTTCTGAGCTCAGGGCAGTTGCCCATTGAAAACCTGAATACGTGTCTATGGTGTGGTGTACATATTTTAATTTACCAAATTCCATAAAGTGGAACACATCCATCTGCCAGATTTCATTCCTTTGAGTACCCTTTGGGTTACTCCCTGCAGGCAACGGTGTTTGATTATAGAAAGAACAAGTAGGACATCTCTTTATAATGTCCTTAGCTTGTTGCCATGTAATGGAAAACTCTTTCTTTAAGCCTTTACTATTGACATGATGTTTTTTATGAAATTCTGAGGCCTGCAGAACGCTTCCAATCAATAATTGGTCAATTTCAGCGTTACCTTGTGCTAGAGGCCCAGGCAGACCGGTATGGGACCGGATGTGTGTTATATACATTGGACAAAGCCTATTCCTAATTATGTCCTGTACCTCGATAAACAATGAAGTCAACTCTGTGTCATCTGGTATGAATTCAGCGGTTTCAATATGCAAGATAACTCTTTCTGCATATTGTGAATCTGTAACTATATTAAGAGGTTCTTTAAAATCCCTTAGCACCATAAGAATGGCATATAATTCTGCCTTCTGGACAGAATTATAAGGGCTTTGTTCCACCTTACTCAATTCTTCCGATTTATAACCTGCTTTCCCTGATTTATTTGCATCGGTATAAAATGTCCGAGCTCCAGTTATTGGAGCATCACGTACAATTCTAGGAAGAATCCAAGAAGTTCTCTTTATGAGGTTAAGTCTATCACTTTTGGGATAGTTGCTGCTAATTTCTCCCAAAAAATTAGCACAAGCTCTTTGCCATGGTTCATTATCTTCCCATAACTTTCTTATTTCCTCAGTAGTAAAAGGCACTATAATTTCTGCT